GATCCTCGGAACTCTGGGGGACACCTTGGGCCAGGGACACCTTCTCACTGGCATCGCGCGACCTGCAGCCCCCTGGAGCTCGCGCACACCCCAGGAGAGCCCAGTATCGCATCGATAAGTCGAATCGGCGGCCGAAACTGACCGGACCGGCGGACATCGGCACCCAGGCCGGGAGGAATCGAACCGGCGGAAAACGGCAGGAAGCAAACGGGCCCCGTGGAGAGCTCGGCATCCGAATCGGAATCCGAAGTTGAAGTCGAATCGGCATCGGAAGCCATCGATAGGGGAACGAAAAGTGGCATAAATGTAAAAACTCGGAGGTCCGCACGGATTTCTCGGATCGGCGCTGGGGCCCCCCGGCGGCGCCTCCAGCGCCGATCCGAGAAATCCGCACGGACCTCCGAGTTGTTCTGTTTATGCCACTTTTCGTTCCCCTAATCGAGCTCGACTCGACTCGAAGCGGAGGCGTCGAAGCGGGCCCTAACACCCTCGCGGCACAGGCACGGGGGTGGGGGTGCGCCGCGTGGCGCCCCTGCCCTCCGCGCGCGCGCCCTCGAGCGCGCTCCCGGCCGGTGCCGCGAGGGGAGCACGGCTCAGGTCGGGCCTGTCCCCCCTACAGGCGGACTTCGGGGCGAACAATCAAAAAATGCCCCCCCAAAAAATAAGCAAAAACCAGAAGTCAGGATAGTCAAACAAATCGTCCCCAGACTATCTGTGGACTATGTTTGGAGGGTCCTCCTCTGGAGGGGACAGGCCCGACTTCAAGCTCGGCGGCCCCCTCGGGCGAGCGCGCGGAGGCGCGCGAGGCGCGGCGGCCCCCCGCTCCCCTCCTCTCCTCCTCCTCCTCCTCCTCCTCCTCCTCATCCTCCTCCTCCTCCTCCTCCTCCTCCTCCTCCCCCTCCCCCTCCTCCTGCGTAGAGCCAGCTCGTATCAAGTCGGGCCTGCCCCTCTGCAGGAGGAAGATCCCCAAAATAGTCAAAAAATAATTCGGGGATGGACAGGCCCCCCTTTAATAAAACGTGGTTCAGTGAAAACGACCTGAGGCCCAAACCTGGCGGGCGCAAGCCTGGAAAAGAACGGCCACGGCGCCCTCTCGAGAACCGAAAACGGACAATCCACTAATCGACGTGTCACTGTTGGGGGTTCTGTCCACCCCCGAGAGAGCTGAAGGCTGGGAGCGCTTGGGCAGCGCAGAGCCAGCTCGTATCAAGTCGGGCCTGCCCCTCTGCAGGAGGAATGTCCCCAACAATAGACAAAACATATTCCGGGGACGATTGTTTGATTACTGTTGTAGCATGTGTGGTGTATCTTGAACTTTCGCCCAGTCCCCCTTGTAGGGGGACACGCGCCCGACCTAAGCGTAGAGCCAGCTCGTATCGTAGAGGATGCGCGATAGGGAGGCAAGGGCCCTGGGCGGCCATGTCAACGTTTCCCGAACGAGGCTGGCCAACGAGTGGCCAAGGATGGGCCGAGGGGGCAGGGATGCGAGGGGGCCCTTGGGAAGGTTGCCCATCGCGTTGGCTGTGTCGCGGCGGCGGCCCTGGCGACACACGGTGTGCCTTGCGAATGGACAGTGTCTCGCTCCGCTCCGTGGGGCGGGAGGTCGCTGGGAACCACGAGGTACCAATACCACTGCTCCCCAGACCTCTCCCGGGGGGTGCCTTCTGACCAGGATCTCGGGGCGAACCCAGCGGTGGCGACGAGGGCCTCCCAGGAGGCCCCCAAAGGGGAAAGCGAGGGAACGGTAGCGATATGTGGATACCTTTTCCTCCCCTGAGTGTCGCTCCGCGCCGCGGGGCGGGAGGTCGGCGAAGGCTCGGGATGTTGACGCTCGGGGACGGGGACATGGACAGCGTGTCGCGCCGCAGCGTGGTAGGGCACCCTGAGACCCGAAGACCTGACAAGCCTGGGGCGCTCACAACGTCAGGGATGCGCACTCGGAAGCCGAAGGCACCCTTAATCGGCAGCGAGATAGGGAAACTCCTGTCGTGGGGATGGGTGCGCGTTTCAAGCTGGTGATCTCCGTCCCCTGGCCGCGAGGCCGCGAGTCGCCGCCACCTCCACGCCCTCGCGCCCCTCCTCCTGGCTAGAAGGAGGAAAAACGGCATAATCAAAATCGTTTGCCGCCCCGAGCGGATTTCTTGGATCTGCGCCGGACCCCCCTCCCTGGGGAGCGCGCCAGGGGCGGCGCCGGAGGCGCCGTTGGGGGGCCCAGCGCGGATCCAAGAAACCCGCGCGGAGCGCCAACTCGCCATCGCTCGGACGTCCATTCCCTGTGCTTTTTTCAGTTTCGTGCGTGGCTTGTTCGCCAAATGATCAAGGATGCTCCTCGATGGCCCTCGCCGAAGGAAAAATGCACACGTCCGAGCGATGCCAGGCCAAAAGTTTGTGCTTATGGCGTTTCTCTTCTCGAGGCCCACGCCCTCGCGCCACCACCTCCTGGCGGCATCGGCAGGTCCACGCCGCGACGTCGCCGCCGGCCCCTGCCACCCGCGGGGGG